ATTGGGTGTGTAAATCGGATGGTTCGTCACGATACGATACGATATCTATTCTCATACCCAGTGATACGATATTTGCCGATACCTCAAAAAATTATATGATACGATTACGATTCGATTCGATACAGTATATTGATCGATATATCGATATTATGATATTATATACCTATTTTAAACAAACATCTACATTTTTATTAACTCACAAATGCAACCAATATATATAACATGAACCTTTATCTGAAATTTTCACATCCTGTGCCTCAATTGGGACATTCACAACAAAAAAATAGGCCTACACTTTTTTTTAAATAATAAAGAAAATAAACCATTGGAAAAACAATTCTGGCTGCTGCTATGGGCTCAGTGCTAAAAATCTTTTCTACAGATAACCAAATTACAAGCAATAGCAGAAAATAAATACAAAGACACAAGTTCAATAAACAGTGCTTTTCAGGTTTTTCAGCTCAGTCTAAAATCTATTTTCAGGTGCACTACAGAAATGTAATAATCAAATGTAAAATAAGTGCATAGTCTTCAATGTATAAATTAAATATAGATTAATCACTTTTGATGTTACAAAGGTTATTTAGTCAGGAGCAGTGAGCACTTGTATTTTTCTTTGACAGCATTAGATTTATTATTAGTTTGCTTTCACTGTAAGAACGAAAGCACGGATTTAACTACTGATACACATGCCTTTTCTTTCTCAACTATTTACATTAAGACATGCCTAACTGACTGTGTTTACTAGGATATTCGCCCGAGCATTTTGAAGTAATTTTGACTGTATATATTCATCCATGCACAAAAAAAACGGAAGTCTGTGTGCGTGCGCTTCAGATGTGTGTGCAGAAAACTTCTCACAGCGCTCGACTGCTCCGCCAAAAATCCCAAGCGTCTTTTATGCTCACCTTGTGCCTTCGGGCAGTCCTTATATCGAGTCCTGATACGTGAGTTTGAATGAGAATGCACGCGTTGGCGGTAATGCATAGATGGACATTATGTGAAAATGTCTCAAATAAAGGTGCCTATTTATTCTACAGATATCAATATTTTACGTGTGGCATCGATGCATCGTATCGATGTATGGATCCATATCAATGAATCGTTACACCGTTAATATACAGTCATGTGAAAAAGTAAGGACACCCTATTGAATTCCATGGTTTTCCATATTAGGACATAATAAATAATAAATTAGATGAACAACAACACAAGACACATTGCACCGTGTCATTATTTGTTTAACAAAAATAAAGCCAAAATGGAAAAGCCATGTGTGACAAAGTTAGGACACCCTTACTGTTAACATAGGAATTAAGAAGTTAAGTCTGGCTCTGCTAATCAAATGCCTTTGATTAACTGATCATCAGCAAGTGTGAGCACCTCTATAAAAGCAGAAGTGTTGGCAGTGTGCTGGTCTGGAGCCTTCAGGTGTGTGTTAACACAATGCCAAGGAGGAAAGACATCAGCAATCATCTTAGAGAAGCAATTGTTGCTGCCATCAATCTGGGAAGAGTTGTTTATTCACAAGTGGAAGACATTCAAAACAGACACCAATCCTCTCAGGAGTGGACGTCCCAGCAAATTCACCCCAGCATCAGACCGTGTAACGCTCAGAAGAATGCCAGACAACCCAAGAACTTCACCGCAGGCTCTACAGGCCTCAGTTAACATGTTAAATGATAAAGTTCATGACAGTACAGTTAGAAAAATATGGGACAAAAAAACAAATGCACAAACAATATGCATAAACAAATGCCCACAAACCTCAATAAACTGGAGCAATGTTACAAAGAAGAGTAGGCCAGAATTCCTCCAGAACGATGTGAGAGACTGACAAAGTCATACAGAAAATTATTACTTCACGTTTTTGCTGCTAAAAGTCAATCTACTGTACATGCAATTGAATCATTTCTTTGTGAGTCTTTGTCACACATGGCTTTTACATTTTGGCTTTACTTTTGTTAAATATATAATGACACGGTGTGTTGTGTCATGTGATGTTTTTCATCTGAGGTTTTATTTTCCTAATTTTATGAGCTGCCAAGGACCAGATAATCTTTTATTATGCCCTGATACAGAAAACCATGGAATTCAATAGGGTGTCCTAACTTTTTCACATGACTGTATACAGACACATCGGATCAGCTGTTCACGTCCACTTAAGACATAAACTGTGTTTAAGTGAGTACTATCGGCATTCTGACATATTTGTTGTGTGTATTTGATCGTTTGGACGCACACTCGAAGCCCAAAGTGTAATTAGTTTGTCTGTTTTAGAGCGCGCACAGCCTGGGGAACAGCATCTCTCACCCGGATTAATGTGCTTTCAGCGTTTTATCAAACATGTCCCGCAAATTAGCAACAGTAAAGACTGCATTTTACAACAATCAACGATTGTGCTGATTCTGATGTTTAGTTTGAGTTTTAGGGAGGAATGAATGTGTGCCTCTGTGAAGGGAAAGACATTGTGCTAAACGCGACTAGTTTTTAATAGCTTTACCTCATATCATCTTTTTATGATCCTTGGAAGCCAACATTGAAATTAACAATAAAATTTGCCTAATATCACAGCCACAGGCCTGAAGTGTAAGCAGACATTTGAATGTTTATTTCTCTCCTTTATCATCACAGTTAAACAGGGCTTTAATATTGTGCACTCTGTAGCTCCTCTGCGTGAGCACAATCTCTCATCTGAATTGCAAAAATGCATCATAGACAAATGTCCTAGTGTCCTAATATTATTGCATATAAAAACAGCGACTCTGGCTAAATAGTATTTGCAAGATAATGTCTATATAGCAATAATAAATGTATGTGTAATTTTCTTAATTTCTCCAATACGGATAGCAGAACCGTTAACGTCAGAGCTTATCGATTCATCGGTCTTTCATCATTTATCCTCGGGGCGCTTTTAATACCGGGTTTCGGTACTCATCCCTAATCTTAACAAACTAATACATCGTTGAAAAAACATTACTGCAAAACTATTTAATAGAAAAAGAATAGAAATATATTTCCTAATTAATCTTGATAATTTACTCTTCCTTTTAAGAGCCCATTAAATTAAGCTCTTAAAATGTGTATTTTTGTTTCTTAAAATTATAGCTAATCAACACTTTTGTTTGTCCTTTAACTGATTTATTTATTTATTTTATTTTTTAAATATGATTGAATAAATGGTTTGACCATTTTGCTTACATTTTGTGGTTCTGTTTCTCCTTTTTCTTGCTTTCCTTGTAGGATCTTGAGAGCAAAATAATCATATTTCTGAAGAAAGAACTGGAAAAGTTTAAGAAAATATTACAGAAAGAGAACACACAATACTTGGTGAAGGACTTTATTGAAAACAGAAGCAGTATGAAAGAAGCAGCTCTTGATCTCTCGCTCTGCTTCCTGAGAGAGATGAAGCAAGATGAAGCTGCTGATGCTCTCGAAGGTAAGAGACCCACCGTCTGTCAGCTTGTCACTTATAGATGCAGGAAAGAAAACAAGATTACAAATATCTGTATTGTTGTCTTTTCTGTGTTTAGATGAGCTGTTCTTCATTCATCAGCTGAAATGTAGCCTAAAGAAGAAGTATGAATGTGTGTTAGAAGGAATAGCAAAGCAAGGTGACTCCACACTTCTGAAGAACATCTACACAGATCTCTATATCACTCAGGGCTGTAGTGAACAGGTCAACACTGAACATGAGGTCAGACAGATTGAAGTTGCTTCCAGACGTCATGAATCACAGGAGAAACAGGTTAAATGCACAAAGATGTTTGAAGCACCTGAACAAGACAAGCAGGTCAGAACTGTGTTGACAAAAGGAGTTGCTGGCATCGGAAAATCAGTCTCTGTGCAGAAGTTTGTTCTGGATTGGGCTGAAGGAAAAGAAAATCAGGATATCAGCTTTATATTCCCTCTTCCATTCAGAGAGATGAACTTAAAGGAGAAAGAAAACCAAAGTCTAATGGACCTTATAACTCAGTTTTTCCCAGAGACAAAAGGACTGGACCTTACAAGAAGAAATCAATTCAAAGTCCTGTTCATTCTTGATGGATTGGATGAATGTCGACTTCCTGTAAACTTTGAGGATAATGAGACGTGGTCTGATGTATCATCACCAGCCTCTCTGGATGTTCTCCTAACTAACCTCATCAAGGGAAATCTGCTAGGAAAATCTTCTCCCTTCTGCTCTCATCTGGACCCCCCCCAGACCAGCCGCTGCCAGTAAGCTTCCTCCTGACTGTATCGACCGACTGACAGAGATACGAGGATTCAGTGATGCACAGAAGGAGGAGTACTTCAGAAAAAGACTCACAGATGAGGATCTGGCCAGAGAAATCATTGATCATGTCAAACAATCAAAGAGTCTCTTTATCATGTGCCACATCCCAGTCTTCTGCTGGATTTCAGCCACTGTTCTCCAGAACATTTTAGAGGAGAAAAGAAATAATGATCTGAAAAACAATCAGGCTGGTGACTCTCAAACACTGCAGGAATCAAACACTGAAGACACTCCCAAGACTCTGACACAAATGTACACACACTTTCTCCGCTTTCAGATCCAGCAGAGCAGACGAAAGTATGACGGAGAATACACACCAGATGTTTCCTGGGATAAAGATGCCATCCTTTCACTGGGAAAACTGGCCTTTCAACAGCTGCAAAGAAACAATGTGATCTTCTATGACACAGACCTGGAAGCCTGTGGTATTGATGTCTATAAGGCATCAGTGTATTCAGGCATGTGTACCCAGATCTTTAAGGAAGAAATAGGGATCACTGTTTGTACCATGTACTGCTTCGTTCACTTGAGCATTCAAGAGTTTATTGCAGCTCTTTATGCACATCTGTTTCTAGACATCAACAAGAAAAGTGTGTTTGATCGTGAGTCTACAGAACAGAAAAACGAAAATAAAACCATGTTTGATTTGCTCAAGACTGCAGTGGACAAGGCACTGGAGAGTAACAATGGACACCTGGATCTTTTCCTTCGCTTCCTTCTCGGTCTGTCACTTCAGTCCAATCGTCGACTCTTAAGAGGACTGTTGACACAACAAGACTGCAATGACCAGAGCAACAAGGAAATAGTTCAGTACATCAAGCAGAAATTAGAAGCTGATCTGTCTCCAGAGAGATCCATCAATCTGTTCTACTGTCTGAATGAACTGAATGATCAAACTCTGGTGAAAGAGATTCAGACCCACCTCAGCAAAGGAAGTCTCTCATCTGCTGACCTTTCACCTGCCCAGTGGTCTGCTGTGGCCTTTGTGTTGTTGACCTCAGAGGAGGAGCTGGAGGAGTTTGAGCTTCAGAAATTCAAGAAATCAGACGAGTGTCTCATTAGACTATCAGCAGTCATCAAAACCTCCAAAAGAGCTCTGTAAGTCAAAGTAAACAACAAGTTTCATTGTTCCCCTGTGTTGGCCTTTGCCACAAGGCGCGTTTCCATTACAGATTTGCACAAAACTTTGGCGATATTTTATAAATGTCGATAAAAATGTATTGCGAAATGATGGAGTTTCTATTAAAATGCAGCAAAAACATAATTTTTTCCTCTCATGATAAGTCATGGCAACGGATTTTGGTGGTATTTTGGCTATATTTAATCGAAGGAGGCGCATGCGTGTATCCTTACAGAAGCAGTGCGGAGCCACTTCAGAAACGTGTGCGGCGCGGCTGGAATAAACACAAGCATTGACTAGAGTGTCCGAGATCAGCTTCAGTGGCCGTATCAGAGCCACACCGCAGACGTGTGCAGTGTAAATAGTCTAAGCATTAATAGTAGGGAAAGCCCCTTATACTGGAGAGCAGCCACGTATGAAGTGTTTCTTGGAGGTTATATTACATTGAAGAATGATCATATGACTTTTCACATACGCCATGTCACCTGTAAATGCGATAAAAACTCTTTCCATTCCAGTTTTGGGAAATATTCCTTTTTCGAATTGCCTGAAAAACCACCTCATGCGAGCGCAAAAACTTTTTTGTGATATTTAGAAGTTTTTTTGAAATTGACACGTTTCCATTAGGCATATTTTCAATTTACAATTTCAATTTGCACAAATTGAAGGGTAATGGAAACGTGCCTACAGTTAGCTAATATTATTAACTGTTCAAACGTTTGGAGTGAATATCAACTGGTAATAAGCTATCTAACCTTATATTATTTCAGTAATTTGCAAACAAATCAACCCTCTACGCACACCGTGGCAATATAATCGCCATTGGCTTGTACATTTTTTTGTTTACTCGCCTGACTTATATACTATTTTACAAACACACACACACACACACACACACGTTTACTTAGCTATCTAAATGGGGACATTACATAGACTTCTATAGTTTTTATATACAGATAGTTATACACTTTTTAACCTAAACCCACCCCTACCCCTCACAGAAAACTTTCTGCATTTTTACAATTTCAAAAGTTAAAAAAAACTTAGTTTACTTTATTTTTATAACAGTTTTACAAATGAGGACATCCGCAAATTTTGCCGATTTTGTCAGGTTTTGCTCACTTTTGGGTACAAATTTGTCCCCAAAATATGGTTAAGTACACACACACACACA